TTTTTTTTTTTTTTTTATTAGAGTTAGGAAAGAGCTAGCTTCGAAAATTCGATGATCTCCTCTTCTACGAAACTAATCCCTATAATACAGATCATGAAATTGTACCAAACTTCTGTTCAAGGCATTTTGAAACCACTTCCGTGTAATTTTACACAAATTTTACCATTATTACGAATCTAACGAATAGTGGTAGTTCGTAGGATGAAAAGTTTTCAGGAATATCCCTGGGATTTATCGATTAACGGACGCGATATAGTTAACATAGTTACGAAATGCTGGAGAATTATTCGGGAAAGAGTATCTTTTCAGAGATGGCTGCAAGTTTTCATAATTGCATCCCCTCTCTCCGCGGTAGCGCGTCGCATTTGCATCCGCTCATCCGAGAGTCTGGCCAAAGATAATAAATATGCGTGACTTAAGCTCGTTTTGCATGCTGCATGGAACGGGCTGCGTGGACCCGGAAACGAGGCTGCACGTCCGTTGCGCATCCCCATAGCCTGATAATCAAGCCAGGATAATGTATGCGGATTACGTAGCTCCCGGTGGCATATCAAACGCGTGCCAGGCTCGTTATTTCGAAATTGCGAATTTTCCACTTTATAAAGGACGGTATTACTCATCGTTCGAATATCCCATGCAGCTCGCGCATGTCTCGGACACGTTCTCAGAAATTTTGCTTTCCCACTCGGGGCAACATGTTACACATCGAGTACGAAGAAAAAAGAACAAACGTTCTTCTCGCGCAAATATTTACCACGATGGACGAACGGTCGATCTTCCCGCTATAGGTTGATGGATTACGTTTCAAGGGGTAAAATCCGCAGCTTTTATCGAACCGAAATACAATATCACGTGTTACAACATTCTGTTCTGATTTTCAGGACGTATCCTGCCTTGTTAAAGCCTGGTATCAGTACTACGAACTTTCGTCGCAGCGATATACATATCTACACCATGTACCAAGGGACAGTCACGCGAGATGTAGGAAGCATCGTGGCCGAAGGCAAAAACGAGAAAAAAGAAATGGCAGCGGATACGGGGACACAGGTTATCGATTCAACAAACCAAGGAAACCAGCGCGTGAATCCGCCACTAGTGTCGTCCAGTCGGCGAGAAATCGAGCCTCGTGTGGACCAGTTTGGGACAAGTCAGACCCTGATCTCGAGATATGTCCGACGCCGAGGGAACTGGTACGTACACTATGCCCTCCTATCCGTCTTCGGGAATTGTTCGTAACAAGCTGAAAACTGTTCCGTGACTGAAACGCGAGCACGTAACACGTGCCACATCGTCTATCTGCGTGATATCGCACCTTCACACGAGAGAGGATCGTTCTCGTCTATGAACGTGCTCGCTTCTATATCTCTCGACATCGTTTCCCGATAGATCTCACCCGTGATCCGTCAAGTCGATCGAATCCCCGAGTCGAGGAGCAGTCACGCGAGGATCAACGCGAGCTCGATGCTTATTGCACTTTGACATTTGGCAGGTGTTCCTCTTCGGAGACCTCTTCCTCGGCTCGTGATATAGAGACGGCAATGTTCCACGTCAGAGGAACAATTTCTCGGTCGGTTTTCCCCGTGAAAAGGGTGGTTTT